ACTATCCCTAATACGCAATATAAATTGTATATTTTACGACCTGTTTTTTTCCCTCATCGATGTTATTGCAAACAGCATTTTACGAAACTACGTTAAATAAGGACTTACTGAAAATTGTAATTTACAACGTGGTTTCTTTGTTGATATCAATAGATGAGAATATGAAATTAATATAAAAAGGCTTTACATGCTTTATAGAGGATGTTATATGAAGCAAAATAATTTATTGCACTTTTATTCCAATCTGTTTCCTGGATACATTAGCTGGGTATATTCATCCGTCCACTTTTTTATACTGGTGGTGCGTATATTAAAAGGTAAAAGAAATAAAAGAAAATGCTAAAAAAATGATTTACTTCTTTTTAACCAGCTGCTACTATACCTGAATCTTTCGCTTTTATGTAAGCATTAGCAAGGTGCTTCCTTGTTCTCATTCGACGCTACTAAAGAAAAAAAAAAGAATAGTAATCAATACTGAAAATAACTGATAATTGATTATTGTGGGAAAAAACATTTCAAACCCAAAATATTTCGCTCCAGTGGATTCACGTTTTTGTTTCTACACTGAATTCAGACAACTTTTTTTTTCCAAAAATCGCTGCTTTATGGCACAGACACCCGTGGGGGTGTTTCCCAGAACGCTATAATCTTAAACTCTTCAAATCAAAAGTCAATCGTTAATTATCCTCATAATCTTAATTTCTTACTTCCTGCTCTTACATTCATATAACACGCCTCATTTACTAGCCTTAGAACTTGAGAGGCTCTGGAGCCTTCTATGGGTTTAATAATAGTAAAAGAAGTGTCTGTAGCCTAATGAAGAAAAGCGCTTTTAAACATTTATTTAACAATAGATATGTACTTTGAACAAAATATTCTTGCCGATGCATTTAACCCAACGATCACACAGGTTCGAACATCGCAGCTAACACGGAACGTTCTTACAACGATACAGACCCCCCCTCTTGTACAATGGTTGAGGGTTGTGTAATGCTGTAGTGACGTTACTGTAATGTTGCAATCAACTATTTCCTTCACCCCAAACTGACGACTCACCGCCAATGTTATGGTAAAGTTGCAAAATTCTATAGCTGAAAATTTCCGCACTGGTTAATTATAATATTGGAATCATGTTTATACTTAGCAATTTGAACAGAATGCATAAAACTTTCTTAAGTTTTTTTTTAAAGATTGAGGAACCATAATTTAGATGACAAATAAATGATCTAATATTTTCCAAGAATCTATTATCCATTCTCTTAATGAAACTTTATGAAGCAACAGATTTTAACGTTACAAAGCAACGTATTTGCAACGTTACGATAAAACGTATTTGCAGCGTTACAATGCAACGTATTTGCAACGTTAAAAGTCAACGTATTTGCAACGTTACAAGACAACGTATTTGCAACGTTAACAGGCAACGTATTTGCAGCGCTACTAGGCAACGTATAATTAACGTTATGAGGTAATGTATTTGTAACGTTAAAAGGCTAAGTATCTGCAACTTTACAAGACAACGTATTAGCAACGTTACGAGGCGACGTACTTATAACGTTATAAGTCAACGCTTCTGAAACGTTACGAGGAAAACGTACTTATAACGTTAAAGGCAACGTAATTGCAAAGTTATGAGGCAACGTACCTCTAACGTTACTGGGAAACGTATTTGCACCGTTACGAAGCAGCGTACTTCTAACTAAAAATATAAGGCACTTCAACGTTACAAGGCAACGTACTTGTAACGTAAAAAGACAACGTATTTGCAACGTTGTGAAGCGACGTACTCATGACGTTATATGGTAACGAGTTCGTAACGTTATAAAGCAGCGTATTTGAAACGTTACAGGGCAACATATTTGCACCGTTAAGAGCCAACATATTTGTAACGGCAACATATTTACAACCTTAGGAGGCTACGTACTTGTAACGTACAAGGCAACATATTTGCCACGTTATGGAGCAATGTGCTTGTAACGTTACAAGGCAACATTGATGGCACGTCGAAGAACCATTGAAGCAACGTCATTTTGTTACCTGGGATTTTTTAATCAGTTCGCCCCAAGCAAGGCGATAATGCCACTAAGATGCAAGGGTCCACTGGGTGTGAAAGGGAATGAGAATGCTTTAGAAGAAACAAGAAACTCAATTCTGAACAAAATCAAAAAAGAATAAACATCTAATCCTGTTCGCAGAACTGGAGAGGAGTATGAACCGAACGATAGGTGAACGTATCTACTTCTATTTTTATAGAATCAACACAAGAGGAATCGGTCCTTAAACACCATCCTTATAAGATTCTGGATATTTCCTTGCTACTTGAATGTCCAGAAACTAGACAGAAAAAAAGAACTAACGTTTAGGGGTCTGTGAATATATCAGAATATGCATGCAAATGTGTAGGGGTCTGTGAATCTACGAGAATATGCATGCTAATGTTTAGGGTTCTGTGAATCTATGGGTAGGTGCATGCAAATGCAAATTCCACTCATATAGGCCTGTAACCTGTCAGATTGATAAAACTTTCCAGATAACATGTGAAATGCCCCGGAGTGTTGATTTTTTTTTTTTTTTTTTTTTTTGCATTTCAGCCAAACCTGGTTTCCCAGGTAATCGAGTAACATACTTTTTTATATTCGTTGGTAAGTTTCATAGTGCACTAAATAAAATTGGGATTGTTTGAGTTTTAAGATGCCGCATCTGAATATTAATTTCTAGTTCTTTGTATTTAACTATTATTATTATTATTATTATTATTATTATTAGAAGAAGAAGAAGAAGAAGAAGAAGAAGAAGAAGAAGAAGAAACAAAAAAAAATGACTTCTCATCGACGTGGCTTTTCCTGGTGACCATAATATCAAGGTCAAAGGCAAGCTTAATAATTCACCAATCTAAAGTTTACAGTTGACAGAATGTGGAGCGTTCGAGGCCAATACTGTCCCAGTTATCATTAGGAAGTCGGGGTTTATACCACTGAACAGAAGGTTCTACGTTGAGAAACTCAGTATGAAATCAAGTATCTCGTCGCTTCAGAAGCCTTCTTTGATTGGCCCTGCAAATATTCTAAGAAAGTTGCTCTCTGTCTGAAGTCGTAAGACTTAAAAGAATTTCTTATAATTCAAGATCTCCGGTTGAAAACGGGAATCGCGCGAACAACGTCCAACAGAACGAGGGGTCATAAAGCAGCAAGTATTGCTGAGAGCAACAAAAGATTGGAAAATGTGGAGAGCTACGATCCTGAAAATTACGCATACTCAGACAGAGAGGTGGACGAAAGAACAAAAGCAATAAAATTGAATAAAACAAAGAGTGTTATGCAATATCAGTCCTCCTATATGACAATAAACGTTGACAATTTCCTCAAAGACGTAAAAGGAAACGTGAGGCAACAGAAATTTGGGTCTACAGAAGGATGCTGAGAATACCATGGACTGAACATGCGAGTAACGAGGAAGTTCTAAAGAAAGTGAAACGAAAAGGATACTTGTATTTAGAATCAGAAAAAAACAGCTGGAATGTCTGGGACACATAATGAAGAAAGACGGCTTGGAGAATTTTGTCACTCATAGGAGATACTGAAGACAAAAAATGTAGAGATAAATGGCAAATGAACTACTTCAGGAGTTTATGCAAGTGACCAACAGAACATCGACTAGGAGGGATGGTAAAGAAATAAAAATTGCTGATAGCTACGAAAGATAGGCAGTTGTGGAGAACCATGATCTCACAGACAGTAAAGGAATGGGAAAATGGTTCATCCAACTATTTCAAAAGACTCTTCGATAACGAAAAATAACAAATTAAATATGGAGTAAAGAATGGAAAGTAGAGGATGTCAGAATGACTTTTATTCTTTCCATCGTCCATGCTTCCGTGTCGAAAGTGAATGAGGTGATATTGATATGTCCCCAAAGTTCAGTCCTAGATCGCAGCTTTCTCTTTGTTTCCGATTTCATGCTGTTTCCTCGAGCAGTCGAAGAGCATATCGACCTAGATCAGACGGAATAATAATAGTTTTTTTTAACTTATTGTTGTATTTTACCATATTCTAGGACACATACTCGTCGACAATATAACGACCAGTTTGAACTCTCTCTAACCATGATGCTTTCGTAATTAGATTAATAATGGCAACGTCTATGTGATACTACTTCCTGAGATAGGAATCAATGTTCAATGTTCAAATTTTATCGGAATCCAGATTCTACGCTGTTTATTATATTGGCGGTTGAAGAGTGATTAAAAATAACAAGAAAAAAAAACAGTATTTACATTAGTCAGACTATTGTCCTCATCTTTGTCGCCATATTTGTCACAACGTTTCGGCCGTTGTACGCTCCGGCCTTCTTCAGGTGGTTGCAATTTCGAACTGAACCCTTTATTTCGATCACTGAGGACAATAGTCCGACTAATGTAAATACTGTACATAATACCTCATCTCAGAAATATAGACAGACTCTGAAGAAAAAAAAACTACTAAAACTTAATGGAGTGCCATGTTTTTAAATTCAAATTCTGAGAATAAGTATTTTTATTTTTTATTTATACACCTTTTTTGCAATGATTGTTGCTATTTATCAAAAGATTGTTACATTCTTCGGTCACTAATGCAAGCACCATAAAATCAGAATAATAGGTTGCTATATATGTGATGTGACTTGAATTCTTGTGGGGGGGCACTTCTTTATTCCAATTTTACTCTGTTTATTTGAAGAGGTGGGGGTTATTAAATTTAGAACTTTGGCGTAAAAAGCAACAATAAGATGAAGAAAACATAAGAATAATAACAATAAAAATGAATATTTTTCAGAATTAATGTGTAAATGACAAAATTGCCATAATTGAAAAGTCTGTTCAACTCTTGTTTTTCGATGCCCACTTTATATGTGTTACTGTATTTAAAGGTGAAAAAAATTAGCTTCTGTTTTCGGTAATGTGTACAATATATTCTGCAATTCGGATCAATCAAAGAGGGTCAGGGATGATTTGATCAAAGTACATGTCTCTCCTATTCGGTAACATCACGGGATTAAAGGAATACAAGTGACACTGTATATGATATGACCAGGTAAATAGAAGCGCGGATTTGTATTTGGCCATAGAATACATCTAAATGCAAACAATAACGCTTTCGGGATAGCATTTCGAGCAAGGGTTTTTTTATTTTTGAACAACCAACGCCAAGGAACAGAGTGCTGGAAATGGGTAGAAGATTGGAAATTAACAAATGTCTTTTGTCTGGCCATTCATTCACACACCATTCGACAAGCAGGCATAAAAGAAAATTGTACATTGTTAAAACTATTCGAGCTTTCATACAACATGATGAAAAAAAGTTGTTTTAATAAATTCACTGTTCGCTTGAGTGTTCGATTAAATACTTATAAAATCTGAGATACTTACAGGATATGAACAACACTCAAAGGAATGCCTAATGACAAGAAAAAGTACCCGACCAAGCCAGGATTTATCCAAAATAAATAAACCCACAAAACCGCTTCAAAAAGATGCTGTGAATTATCAATTGGTCTGGGAATGTTGATTCAATAACAATCGCTCGATCGATGTCATGAAGAAAATGGTTCTATATTATTCTTATAACTATGTAATTGTTTTATTCTTTCAGTGATTTATCTTGAAATCTTTCTTTACCTATTTTCTTCTTCTTCTTCTTCTTCTTCTTCTTCTTCTTCTTATTATTATTATTATTATTATTATTATTATTATTGTTCAAATAAAAGCAAGAAAATACACATTTCGTGTATTACATGTTATTTTTCCACTTCCGTTTTATTTTCTTCATTCATTTACTTTTTCTTTTATCATTGTTCTTTTACTCTTTCTTCGTCTTCTCTTTCTCATTCTATTCCTTCTTTTTCTCTTTCTTTCCTGTTTTCTCTTTATTCTATTACTTCTTTTTTCTTTCTTCCTGTTGTTCTTTTCTCCTTTTTGTTTTATTTTCTTTCTTTTTTTAATTCTTCTTTTATTATTTTTTCTTCTTCCTTTTCTCCTTCTTCTGGTTCTTTTCTTCTTTCTCTTCTTATTCTTTTTTTCTTTCATCTTTCCAATTTCATGCCAAATATTTTGACTGTTGTTATCTTTACAGCCGTTACTGTGTTTTTTTGGTTATTTTTGTTGTTTTTTTTTTCGTTTTTTTTTCGTTTCTTTGATGGTTGTTTCCGGACAAGTGCTGCTGCTGCTCCTGCTAGTATGGCGGATCACTGGACAGGATTAATGTCTGTCTGTTCGTCATTCGCGTGCACGACGTTGGACGACAGGCGAATAAAATAAATTCAGCGACAATTTATGTGGAGCGAGAATTATTCCGGGTGTCCACCATCTTAGAGTTCACCCTTGCCTCGTGCCCTCTAAACGAACACGTTCCCTCCTCATTGTTGGGCGCACCCACCTACCACGCCCTTTTCCCAATCCATATCCATTGCGAAAACCCGATTACTTTTCAGAAATTGTTCCAAGGACCACGGGATGATGCCCGAATCTTCGGCTTCCCCCTCTTCCTCTGCAATGCACTTACTTGGACATGAGACTCTCTCTGTCTCTCTCTCTCTCTCTCTTCTAACCGTCTGCTTCTCCCTCATCCTTTCTCACTATGTCTTCACGGCTTTCTTTTCTAATTTATTCGTATCTGTCTCTCTATTTATCTCCACCTCCATCTTCCCATCTCTAAATCTATTTATATTTATATATCAACGTTTCTTCATATCAGTCGATTTTAGTTTAATCATATTTCAGTCCGCTCATATCTATCATATCTATAATGGTGTCTTTATCTATTAAAATAATATATATTCATCTATCTACCAATTTCCCTCTCTCTTTCTCTCTCTCTTTCTCTCTCTCTCTCTCTTTCTCTCTCTCTCTCTCTCTCTATCTCAATCTATTCATATCTATCTATCTATCTATCTATCTATCTATCTCAGTCTATTCATATCTATCTATCATTTTTTTAATCAATCCACACAAGGCAAGGTGTTAATGCCACTAAGATGCAAGGGGCGACTGGGAGTGAAATAGAATGAAAAGACTTTAGAAGGAAAACAGGTAGGAAACAAGGAAACAAACCACTACTTCTGTTCAAAAGACCGGGAGGAGTGTCAACCGAGCAATAGGCGAACATCTATCTATCTATCTATCTATCTATCTATCTATCTATCTATCTATCTATCTCAGTCTGTTCATCTTTCTATATCTATCTATCTATCTATATATCTATCTCAGTCTATTCATCTCTCTTTCTCTCTATCTATCTCGTTCTATTCATATCTATCTATCTATCTATCTATCTATCTATCTATCTATCTATCTATCTATCTATCTAAACTTAGATTAGTATGGCACAAATCCACATGTTTAAATCACTCAGCCATAATCAATCTTATTACTTTTCAAAACTGTTTGCTAGGATCTCCCCCCCCCCCCTCTCTCTCTCTCTCTCTCTCTCTCTCTCTTTCTCTCTCTGGATCATCATCAGTTGCTACACCGTATTCTCTCTCTAATTTTCTACCAACCATACTTCACTAGGCTATGATATGGCATCTTTACAATCGTCACTCCACCTTTTCTTGTCAAGTTTTCATTCTTAAAGTAAAGAAGTTCTCAACCAAATGACAGAATAAAGTAAACAAACTAAATAATGAAACTTAAACCTTCAAGTGTCATTGCCATTAAATTCCTGTTTTAGTGCCATTCTATCAATTATTCCGAATCGGAAAGAACCGCTAAAACTTTACTAAACATAAAAATGCCAAATCACGATAAAATACAGGTTCTCTTTTGATCACCGAAGTTAAGTAGCCCCGAGCAACGTCAGTACTTAGACAAGGGACTGCTTGCGAACGCCGGGCACTATAGGCTAAGACAGGTGACAAACCCGGTTGGGTATGAGTCTAGCAATTTCATCTTGTAAAACTTATTTGCTATGGGAAGCACAGTAGAAACGCCTAGAATTGCTGAGAACATACGTAGATTCCACGGGATATGAGAGCTATGGCCCCATATTCCTCAGTGGAGAGTACGGGACTTGAGATCTGTGACCCATACCCCTCAGTGGAGAGTACGGGACTTGAGATCTGTGACCCATACCCCTCAATGGAGAGTACGGGACTTGAGTCTAATAATTTGGAAGAGTTTTCTTTGATCATACGAAACTATAATTGAACTTTTTCACCACAAATCAACTTATCATGTATGAAGGAATGATGGATGATTCAAAGAACACAATCTTCGCAATAATGCATGGAGATGGAGAGCATCGCGCTTTTTTTTTTTTTTTTTTTTTTTTGGTGGGGGTGTAAGTTTCTGTCAGTGATTATGTAGAGCAATGGTGAGAAAGAATTTTTAAAGACCCGATGTCTTGGCGTATTTGTAAGCTAATTTGTTATTTTCAGAGCAACAGTTATGGGCTGAAGACTGTTGAACCTTTCAGTAAGATAACGACCTGAGATCCACAGCTAAAGTAACTCGCTAAATGCTTGTTTAAAACAGCATAGAAGTGATTCTAATAGCGAGTAATTCTCCTGAAGGGAATCCAGTCAAAAATCTATGACGAAAGTTGATCGATTTCCTACAAATGGACCAGTCTACTTAAGCATTTTATTGATTCCATTAAATTGATAGTTTCGTTAATATTACGATCATCTTTCGTACAACGAGATGGAATATTTGCGTTGTGCTTATTAAATCTCTATTACTACCTAGTCATCTATATTTTGTATTTGTTCTGAGCTAATTTACTGCTGTCATTTTTTTTATAAAATTGAGGAGTTCGTGCTCTTAGCACGAAAGGAATTTTTTTGCACACAAAGATATTTTCTGACAAAAATAAGATTTACATTTAAATGAAAAAATAAGATTTACATAAAAAAAAAAACAAGAATGTTGATAATTATTCTTCTGAATTTTTACTCTTTACAAATCTTAGATTTTTGAATAAATTGGCAAAAAGTAATATTCTCTTAGAGGCTTTCCATCCTAATTTATCTATTCTTTTTCACTGGAAGATTTCTTTCTTTTGTCTCCAGACAATTTTAGATTGTACTTTAAATTAATAAATAAAGTGTTCTTGAACGTTTAAAAATACATTCACAACTAAGTCATCAGATACCTTGTCGTCTACAAAATTATTTGCATGAAGGGAAATATTCCCAGCATATAGATAATATATAAGTATAGGTAAGTAGGTCGGGGGAGAGGGGGAAAGAGAACGTAGACAGATAGAGAGCGACAGTGAGAGTGAAAGAAAACAGTTCCTTTGTGATTCTGTAGCGCCAACCACAAGATTCGAAGAAGGATGGTTTTCACCTAGACCAACAGGCTTCACTCGCTCTAAGCTATTTTAACCTTTGACTCGAGGAAGTGGTTTAGATATTTCTCAACGGATTTGGCACAAGGTATGCCATTCAAATTAAAGTCTCAATCTGACTATTCAAGAATTATGAGTTTATCTCTTCTTTCCTGTTTAGGGTTGTTTGCCGAATTCTTCGGATGTCACCTCCTCCTGAATTCTGTAATTTTATTCAGTAATTACTAGTATTTTTCCATTCTCAGTAGGAGTAGATAGGATCACCTACCATCCGGTTCATACTCCTCCCCGACTTTTTTGAACAAGAGAAAAAGGTTTATCCCTTGTTTCCGGTTCCTTCAACTCAGTACTTTTGATGTCTCCATCTGAAATATGAAACTTTACTCAGTACCTATTATTTTTTTCAACTACCAGTGGGAGTAGATAGGATTGCTTATCGTCCGGTGCACACTCCTCCCCAGTTTTTCGAACAGGAGTAAAGATATATACCTTGTATCCTGCTTAGCAATAGGTTTGCCGGTTCCTTCTAAAGTCTATTTCAACTGTCTACTCCTGACGTATCCACCTGCACTCTGAAATATTTTATTTCCTAATTAAATGTTGACCTCTTCAAGTCTAGAAGTCGCTGTTTCCTGAAAGAACTTCAGCTTTTGCCCTTTCTTACGCTAATACAACACCAGGCAGTAACCCTCTACCTTGAGTGGCCCTTGGGCCTTGTATTGGGTGAACAATAATAAAAAATAAAAAAAAGGCAGGAGTTAACAGCAAGTAAACCACTTAAGGAGCTTGAGTGGATGAATAGCAGAAGTACAAATAGAGATGGTAAAGGGTCAAAAATTAGGATCATAAAAGAAAAGAAGTTGTGGAGAGTCATGATTGCCATGTCCTGAAATGTATGCACCCGATTACATTTTGTCTGTTATCTTTTCTTCTTTTACATTTTATTCTGCATAATATGCTTGAAAATATTTATTTTCTTCAGTAAATGCTAATTTTATATAAAACTACATCATCTGAATAAATGTAAATGCAGGCATCGGAAGTATATAAAATATTTCATACGTTTCTATACAGACCAAAGTAGATCCTATATATGCTCATAATATACACTTTTTACTCCCTTCTTTACAACCATCTACCTTGAGTGACTCTTGGGCCTTGTATTGGGTGAATACTAATACATAAATATTTAATGGCTTTATTAATGTTTGCTTTTTTGAATGTCTGTCTTTGTCAATCCTTCTGTACCAACAACATATCGCCCTTTCTATTCCACCATCTTACCCCAAGTCATACAGATCCGCATCTTGCCGAATTGATTCTGATATAATCATCAATATCCTTATACCCCCGGTTCCCATCGCCGTCTCATTCCTTTCTTATTCAATTATAATCTTCATCTCACTTTAAACTCAATTACAGGAGTTTTTCGTCTCCCTCGTCTCTCCGTGTCATTCATTTTTCATTCTCGTGATTTGCAATTTCTCTTTTCGTTCGTCGATGCTCGAAGAGAAAAACCAAAATGCAACGATTTCGTATATTTACTAAGCTTAGCTGCTTTTCTGGCACAAGGCTAAAGAAAAGTGAGAGATTGTTAGGGAAATCATATTTAACCCATTTTCCAACTGATGGAATCTGCCTGGTTTGAAAATCAGCATTTGAAATGATTTCAGATATTAATCTTTTCTATCAGTCGGGAATACACAACTACCTCACTCACCAGGCAAGCTCGTTGCTGAATTGTATATCCATAAATTTGTGTAGGTAAATTCAATCCATGCATCTTATTTAACGTCGGATTTGTCGCGCACCTTGTCGAGCACCCAGTGAGGATTGAAATCACTACTCAATCGTAACTGATTTAGTATGCAAGTTCGATAACCATTACGCCACCCTGCGTCTTAATTATGGATGCAAAGACATTTCCTAAACCATTTTTATTCTTATGTATTTTTTTTTGTATAGTTATTTGTTAAGTTTAGCTTAGTCTGGCACAAGGCCACTGAGCTTGAAAACATAGTAAAACTGAATTTAAACTTCCTAAACATCACAACATAATAAGTGTATTTACATTTTCCGTGTATAAATACTTAAACATTTCTCTTTATCCAGCTTTGGATATTACGATCATCTTTTTGTCTATATTTCTTCTTAAATACAATCTCTCATCCTTATTCCTTCTCTGTCACTTGCCATATTGAAATTGTTGATAAATTAACCTTGCGAATCTTAGTCGATCTGTATTTTCAGACACCAATATTTGATACATTTTCATACCTATTTTTGCGACAACTTTGACCTCTGATCCGAATTGGGGAAAACATTTGACTGTATTTGGAGGAATATTTGACTGAATTGGAGAAAAACTGACTGAAATGAAAAAAACATTTGACAGAATTGGTGGGAATATTTGACAGGATATTTCTGATCTGAAACGGGGAAAACATTTGAATGAATTGTGGGAAACATTTGACTGAAATGAGGGAAAATTTGACAGCATTTGGAGAAATATTTGACTGAATTGGGAAAAAAACTTTTGGCTGAATTGGAGGAAACATTTGACTGAATTTATATGATCTGAACGGATAGAAAAATTTCACTGAGTTGAGGGAAACATTTGACTGAATTGGAAGAAGCATTTGACTGAATTTCATTTACCTGAATTGAGGGAAACCTTTGACTGATTTGGAGGAAACATTTGATTGCATTCGGTAGAATATTTGACTGAATTGGGGAAAATATTTGACTGAATTTCCCAGATCAAAATTGGGGAAAAGATTTGAGTGAATTGGGAAAAACATTTGACTGAATTGGGGGAAAGATTTAACTGAAAAGGGGAAAACATTGGTCTGAATTTCCATGATCTGAATTAGCGGAAACATTTAACTGAATTGAGAGAAACGTTTGTTTGAATTCGGGGAAAAAGTCGAGTGACTTCAGAGAAACATTTGACGGAAATGGGAAAAGCATTTGACTAAATTAGGGAAAATATTCGGCTGAATTTGAGGAAACATTTGATTGAATTTCCCAGTTTGAATCGGGGAAAACATTTGACTGAATTGGAGGAAACATTTGACTAAATTAAGAGAATCATTTGGCTGAATTGGGAAAAACATTTGACTGAATTTTCCGGATCTAAATTGATGGAAGCATTTGAGTGAATTGGGGAAAATTTTGTCTGATTTTTCTTATTTAAGTGAATTTGGTGAAAAATTTGATTGAATTGGGTTACACATTTGTTTGAATTTCTTTGATCTGAATTGGGGGAATATTTGACTGAAGTGGAGGGAAACATTTGACTGATTTGGGGAAAACAATTGACTGAATTCTTTTGATCTGAATCGGAGAAACATTTGACTTTCTGAGTCACAAAGTATCGTGCATATTTAAATCTTCATGACATCTTCTATTTACATAGTCGAACCAACCAAAGTAATTTGATTCTCCGGTCATGTCTTTTCGTTTTTGACTCTTTCTTTTCATTTTAAACTCCATCTTAGCTAATTGACTATATAGTTTTACATCTATCATAGTTTTACATTTCTCTACATAGAAGAAATTTGTTATTATTTTGTAGTTTCTAACTATGTCTCCTTTTCGTTTCCATTATCCGTTAAACTTTCTCGTTGCTTACATGCTCCGTCCATGGTATTCTCAGCATCCTTCTGTAGAACCACAAGTCCCTTCTTCATCTACGAGGAGATTTTTGACCATTCACTGCCATATAGAAGGGCCGATATTACATAATATTTTATCAGTTTTTCCAATTCCAATCGGGTTCGTTATATTCACCTACAGGCAAATACCCTTGAGAAAGGTATGAATCCACCTCTTCTCTCCCCAGCTATGGGTTAATTAGTAGGACTTGTATCACCAAATCATTCAAATTATTAAAATCTAAAAATATTTTCTGCCTTTAAATAACATGCAAATGATTGATAAGCTATTGAAAACAGATCAATCAAGTGATGTAGTTTCTGATATTTTGGTACAGTTTTTGAAATTCTGTAGTGTTAGATTCCAATAAGGATAGTCCTGGCTAAGATCTACCAGCTTCATTCGTTCGAAATCGTTTTTGACGATTGATCTGAGAAAATGGTTGTGTACAGTTGATAGTTTAGATATTTCTGAACGAGTTTGGTGCCATGCAGGTCACTGGAGAGGTGCTGTATATAATATAGGACCATCTCTAGCCAGGCGAAGTGAAACAAGAGGACATGGCATCACTTCCACAATTGGTTGGAAGACCTCTGGAGAGATATTGAGACACGCTTTCTTGTTAACTGTTCAGAGTTCTATTTTGTTTGCAGATACCGGATCTTATGTTCGAATAGACCCTCACCAATTCGTCTCAAAATTCCTTGATTTGGCATCAAGGAATGTAAACGTGGGAAATCTCTATAGTGCTCTCCAAACCAGTTTTTGGTAACTTGATCCCGGTTACACGGTAGATAATCCTTCCGGAACATCCCGTCGTTGTTGGGGTACGTATAATCAATATTAGTGAGAATCGAAAAATATTGATTTTATCGATTTAGAGAATGCGTTCTGTTTATAATGTCGATACAATTGATAAAGGAACTTTTTTAATTTTTAAAACATTTTTAGGGGGCGGGAGGTAGAAGATTTTTTCATAAGTACATGAACAATTTTCTTCAAGTGAACCAAGCTACTTAAGAAGTTACTATGGGCACCTCGACGTGGTGTAATCGTTAGGAAGCCGGACTTAGAAAAAGGGCACCTCGGCGTGGTGTAATGGTTAGCAAGCTTTCTACTGAAAAGTGAGTTCGATCCTCACTGGGTGCCTCATACTTTCGGCCTTGTGCCACATCAATGCTATGCTTGGAAAATCTTTACTTAAGAAGTTGCTTGATTCCATCAAATTGATAGTTTCATCATTATTACGATCACCTTTCGTATGATGAGATGGAATATTTGCACTATTCTAAGTAGATCTCCACTCCTACCCAGTCACATATATTTTGTATTTGTTTTGAGCTAATTTACTGCAGTCATTTTTTTTATAAAATTAATGGGTTCGTGCACTTAGCACGAAAGGAATTTTAAGTTTTTGCACACAAAGATATTTTCTGATAAAAAAATAAGATTTACATTCAAATGTAAAGAAAAAGAAGTATGTCGATAATTATTCTTCTAAATTTTTACTCTTTACACATCTTAGATTGTTGAATATCTTGGAAAAAAGTAATATTCTCTTAAAGATTTTCCATCCAATTTTCCATATTCTTTTTTATTGAAGAATTTCTTTCTTTTGTCTCCAAACAAATTAACTTTTATGTGGATTGTACTTTAAATTAATAAAATAATGCTTCTTGAACATTTAAAAATACGTTCGCAACTAAGTCATCAGATACTTTGTTGTCTGCACAATTATTTACATGAAGGGAAATATTCCAAGAATACAGATGATATATAAGCAGAGGTAGGGAGGTAGGTAAAGAGAGAAAGTAAGAGAGAGAAAGAGAGCATAATTAGAGAAAGAAAAGACCAGAGAACATAAACGCAGTTAGCAAGAGAGATTACACAACACTTGAAGATTGCGTTGAAGTATGAAACAGACTGTTGCCATTCAGTTTTGACCTCAGTGTCTATATATATATATATATATATATATATATATATATATATATATATGTGTGTGTGTGTGTGTGTGTGTGTGTGTGTGTGTGTGTGTGTGTGTGTGTGCGTGCGTGTATGTGTAGAAAGTGAAGGTAACAACTTCGGCAGGAATTCGAACTCAGCTTGTCGATTTCTCTTTTCGAAACGCTAACAAAACATTCCCATTATTAGTAACCATTACTGTATTGCAAGGAGATCAAGATTATTTACTATTTACTAAGATTACTTTCTTCTGGTTCAACTCTATAGTAGTAGTGTACTCAGTAAGGCTCTAACTCACTAATATGTCGAATAGTTTTATGAGGAGCCTTGTTAACCACCACGCTACGGAATCCACCCTCTTTTAATTTCGATTGATACACTCAAACCTCCCTCTTTTCTAACTAATATCTTCATCTTCCTCCTATCCACGTCTTTCCTTCTTTTCCCCCTAACCACGTCTTTATTCGGTTCATTTTATTTTTCATTTCTTACTTCTACTTTCACTTTCACTTTCACAATCTTACCCCCTCTCTCTTTCTCTGTCTCTGTCTCTTTCTCTCACTGTTTCCAACACGCACAAGTCTAATCTATTTCATTTTATCTTTCCACTCCCCTCTCTTCTCCTTGGATCTTTCTCCCAATTCTTTTCCTCATTCCCCGACCACCATTACTTCCCCGACTCTAATGTCTTCAGTCGTCTCCCAACAACGACAGGGATGAACTAGGCAAAGGGTCGCTGTTTACAAAAGACGCTGGTATTTCGGCGACCATGATGGCAAGGACGGCAGTAAAAGCGGCGGGAAGGTGGCCTGTTCCAATGTTCAACTTATCCACGCTTGGCAATTAATTGACATCAACTCTCTTGTATCACGGAGCGGGGATCAGTCCGTTTGCCGCAATCTAAACCAGTCAATCCCTTCTTATCTTGGGCGAACCCCTATCAGATGGGTAGAGTAATTATCCAAAGGGGCTCCCCTACCCGCCATGATTCCTGACGATCCGTCTTTACAGGGCTGTTGCCTCTGCCCGACAAAAAAAGAAAGAAAGACAGAAACAAAGAAATTGAAATTAAGGAAAAACTTAAATAGAATAAAAATGAATAGAAAATGGAAGAAAATATTCTAAATCAAAAGATCTTAGCAGAAAGGATTAAATAATAAAAGAAAAAGAAAAGAACTAAAAACGAAGAAACAAAAAAGGAAAAGAGAAAAGCAATATTCAAAAAAAAAAGAAAAGAAATCATAGAAAGGGAAATGGAAAAAAGAATTGAGGAAGAGAGAAAAGGATAAACGAAAATATGAAAGAGAAAGATAGAAAGTAAATGAAAAATAGGAAAAGGAAATATGTCGAGAGAAAGGCGATATATAGAAGATAATAAGAAATTCAAGGGTTTAGGTAACTGTGCTTCTCTTTTCCACTCCAACTTCACTTCGAAAGAAAGAAATGCAGAAAGATTGATTAAGAAAAAGAGAAATTAAAAATGAAGAAGAAAAAAGAAAAGCGATATTAAATTTAAAAAAAAAAGAAATGATGGAAAGAAAGGAAAAATCTAGAAAGAATCGCTGATGATAGAAAGAAATAAACGGAAAAGGAAAGAAAGAAACAATGGGAAATAGAAATGAAAAGTTATAGTGAGAAGAACGTTACATTGGAGATAATAAGAAATTAAAGGGAGTGGATAATAGTACTCCTCTTTTCTTTTCCAACTTTTCTTTCGTTCTCTTTCTTTCTCCCCCCATCATTCTTCTCTCTTTTTATCGCTTTAGAATCATTACACTATCATCTTTGAGCACTTCGACATGGTATAGTGGTTACCAAGCTTGTCTCGCTAAATCAATTACGACTGAATAGTGAGTTCGATCCTCAACGGGTACCCCATATTTTCGGCCTTATGCCACATCTACGCTAGGCTTCGAAACCATTATCCTATCATTTCTGTTGCCTGCACAAAGCACAGAAGAAATGTGAATTGACTATAAGTTTACTGTACTTTGATATTCTCTCTCTCTTTCTTTTTTTCATTCCTCTCTCTTTTAGTCTCTTTACATTATCATCTCTTCGTAAAATTATTCTCCCCTCCGATCCCTGTCTCTACCCACTGAATATTCCCTCTGAATTTTAGCTCATTTCTCTTCTGTCTCCCTTTATGAAAGTGGTGCTGAAAAGTTCTCAGCCTGATCAATTTCCAAAAATCTCTATTTACACCGACCCCTTTTATCTTTCAGTTTTTCTTATCCATACACGTTGATAAAAAAAAGGTTTGTTCTCTCTCATTTTTTCTCAGTTCTCTTTTTACAGTCTCTTCTATTCCAGCCTGTCGCGATGAAAATAAGTTTCTTCATTCTCTCTCCTCCCCTTTCTCTCTCTCTCTCTCTCTTTTTACATTCACTCCTCAGCTTCTCTTTACTCCTACCGCTAAACGTTTCTTCTCTCCTCCTCCTCCTCGTCGTCGTTTCAATCTACCTGAATTCTTTCCTCTTTACACTCTTCAGTCTCTCTTTACTTGCATCTTACCTTGATTAAAATATCTCCACTCTCTCTCTTTCTTCCCCTCTCTCTTAAAGTCTTCACTCTGCTTAATCTCATCTCTCGTCGATAAAAAAAAGATTCTTTTCTCTTCCCCACCCTTTCTCCTTTCTCTATTCTTTTCGCTTTGCACTCACAACTATTATCGATAAAAGCTTTCTTCGCGTCTCTCTCTCTCTCTCTCTCTCTCTCTCTCAAACGTTCTAAAGTCTTCTCTCTTTACTTTCATGTCGAGTTAATACAAAGTTTATTCTTCCTTCCTTCCTCCACTACTGAGTTTCCTGATTTTTTTTCTCTTTACACGACTTTAGCGTATTTTATTTGCCGTCTCTCTTCTTTAACAAGCGTCTAATATATTTTCTATTTTCAGTCGCTGTTCGAACCTCTCAAAATTATCTTTATCTCTTTTTAATTTTTCAAATTCAATCTTTTGCTCATATTTCTGTCCTCTTTTCTTTTTTCATTGATTCTATTTTATTCCTGTCTGTACACTTTCTTTCTTCATCTCTTTCTTTCACCCATTCTTTCTTTTTTCCTTTCTTCATCTCTTTCTTTCACCCATTCTTTCTTTTTTCCTTTCTTCCTCTCTTTCTTTCACCCATTCTTTCTTTTTCCTTTCTTCCTCTTTTTCTTTCACCCATTCTTTCTTTTTTCCTTTTCTCCTCTCTTCTTTCACCCATTCTTTCTTTCTTCCTTTCTTCATCTCTTTCTTTTCACCATTCTTTCTTTTTTCCTTTCTTCATCTCTTTCTTTCACCCATTCTTTCTTTCTTCCTTTCTTCATCTCTTTCTTTCAACCATTCTTTCTTTTTTTCCCTTTCTTCATCTCTTTCTTTCACCCATTCTTTCTTTTTCCTTTCTTCCTCTCTTTCTTTCACCCATTCTTTCTTTTTTCCTTTCTTCCTCTCTTTCTTTCACCCATTCTTTCTTTTTTTTTCCTTTTCTTCCTCTCTTTCTTTCACCCATTCTTTCTTTCTTCCTTTCTTCATCTCTTTCTTTCACCCATTCTTTCTTTTTTCCTTTCTTCATCTCTTTTCTTTCACCCATTCTTTCTTTTTTTTTCCTTTCTTCATCTCTTTCTTTCACCCTTTCTTTTCTTTTTCTTCCTTTCTTCATCTCTTTTCTTTCACCCATTCTTTCTTTCTTCCTTTCTTCATCTCTTTCTTTCACCCATTCTTTCTTTTTTTTCCTTTCTTCCTCTTTTCTTTCACCCATTCTTTCTTTTTCCTTTTCCTCTCCATCTTTCTTTCACCCATTCTTTCTTTCTTCCTTTCTTCATCTCTTTCTTTCACCCATTCTTTTCCATTTTTCCTTTTCTTCAACTCTTTCTTTCACCCATTCTTTCTTTTTTTTCTTTCTTCCTCTCTTTCTTTTCACCCATTCTTTCTTTCTTCCTTTCTTCATCTCTTTTCTTTCACCCATTCTTTCTTTCTTCCTTTTCTTCATCTCTTTCTTTCACCCATTCTTTTTTTTTTTTTCTTCATCTCTTTCTTTCACCCATTCTTTCTTTCTTCCTTTTCTTTTCATCTCTTTTCTTTCACCCATTCTTTCTTTCTTCCTTTCTTCATCTCTTTCTTTTCACCCATTCTTTTTCTTTTCTTCCTTTCTTCATCTCTTTCTTTCACCCATTCTTTTCTTTCTTTCCTTTCTTCATCTTTTCTTTCACCCATTCTTTCTTTTTTCCTTTCTTCATCTCTTTTCTTTCACCCATTCTTTTCTTTCTTCCTTTCTTCATCTCTTTTTTTTCACCCATTCTTTCTTTCTTCCTTTCTTCATCTCTTTCTTTCACCCATTCTTTCTTTTTCCTTTCTTCATCTCTTTCTTTCACCCATTCTTTTCTTTCTTCCTTTCTTCATCTCTTTCTTTCACCCATTCTTTCTTTTCTTCCTTTCTTCATCTTTTCTTTCACCCATTCTTTTCTTTCTTCCTTTCTTCATCTCTTTCTTTCTCTTTCTTTCTTTTTTTCCTTTCTTTCTCTCTTTCTTTCATTCTTTTTCTTTCTTCCTTTCTTCATCTCTTTCTTTCACCCATTCTTTCTTTCTTCCTTTCTTCATCTCTTTCTTTCACCCATTCTTTCTTTTTTTCCTTTCTTCCTCTCTTTCTTTCACCCATTCTTTCTTTTTTTTCTTTCTTCTTTCTTTTCTTTCACCATTCTTTTCTTCTTTCTTCATCTCTTTTCTTTCACCCATTCTTTCTTTTTTTCTTTCTTCCTTTCTTTCTTTCTCTTTCACATTCTTTCTTTCTTCCTTTCTTCATCTCTTTTCTTTTCACCCATTCTTTCTTTCTTCCTTTCTTCCTCTTTTCTTTCACCCATTCTTTCTTTCTTCCTTTCTTCATCTCTTTCTTTCACCCATTCTTTCTTTTTTCCTTTCTTCATCTCTTTCTTTTCTTCCATTCTTTTCTTTTTCCTTTCTTCATCTCTTTCTTTCACCCATTCTTTCTTTTTTTTTCCTTTCTTCCTCTTTCTTTCACCCATTCTTCTTTTTTTTCCTTTCTTCCTCTCTTTTCTTTCACCCATTCTTTCTTTTTTTCCTTTCTTCCTCTCTTTTTTCTTTCCTTTCTTCTTTCTTTTCCTTTCTTCCTCTCTCTTTCTTTCTTTCATTCTTTCTTTTTTTCCTTTCTTTCTTTCTTTTCTTTCACCCATTCTTTTCTTTCTTCCTTTCTTCATCTCTTTCTTTCTTTTTCTTTCTTTTTTTTTCTTTCTTCATCTCTTTCTTTCACCCATTCTTTCTTTTTCCTTTCTTTCTTTCTTTCACCCATTCTTTTTCTTTCTTCCTTTCTTCATCTCTTTCTTTCACCCATTCTTTCTTTCTTCCTTTCTTCATCTCTTTCTTTCACCCATTCTTTCTTTTTTTTCCTTTCTTCTCTCTTTCTTTCACCCATTCTTTCTTTTTTCCTTTCTTCTCTCTTTCTTTCTTCTTTTTCTTTTTCCTTTCTTCCTCTCTTTCTTTTTTCCATTCTTTTTTTTTCTTCTTCCTCTTCATCTCTTTTCTTTCACCCATTCTTTCTTTTTTCTTCCTTTCTTCATCTCTTTTCTTTCTTTCACCCATTCTTTCTTTTCTTCTTTCTTCATCTCTTTCTTTCACCCATTCTTTCTTTTTTCCTTTCTTCATCTCTTTCTTTCACCCCATTCTTTCTTTCTTCCTTTCTTCATCTCTTTCTTTCACCCATTCTTTCTTTCTTTCTTTCTTCATCTCTTTCTTTCACCCATTCTTTCTTTTTCCTTTCTTCCTCTCTTTTCTTTCTTTCATTCTTTTCTTTTCTTCCTTTTTCTTCATCTCTTTCTTTCACCCATTCTTTTTTTTCCTTTCTTCCTCTCTTTTCTTTCACCCATTCTTTCTTTTTCCTTTTTTCTTCATCTTCTTTCTTTCACCCATTCTTTCTTTTTTCCTTTCTTCCTCTCTTTCTTTCACCCATTCTTTCTTTTCCTTTCTTCCTCTCTTTCTTTCACCCATTCTTTCTTTTTTTTCTTCCTCTCTTTCTTTCACCCATTCTTTCTTTTTTCCTTTCTTCCTCTCTTTCTTTCACCCATTCTTTCTTTTTTCCTTTCTTCCTCTCTTTCTTTCACCCATTCTTTCTTTCTTCCTTTCTTCATCTCTTTCTTTCACCCATTCTTTCTTTTTTCCTTTCTTCATCTCTTTCTTTCACCCATTCTTTCTTTTTTCCTTTCTTCCTCTCTTTCTTTCACCCATTCTTTCTTTTTTCCTTTCTTCCTCTCTTTCTTTCACCCATTCTTTCTTTCTTCCTTTCTTCATCTCTTTCTTTCACCCATTCTTTCTTTTTTCCTTTCTTCATCTCTTTCTTTCACCCATTCTTTCTTTTTCCTTTCTTCCTCTCTTTCTTTCACCCATTCTTTCTTTCTTCCTTTCTTCATCTCTTTCTTTCACCCATCTTTTCTTTCTTCCTTTCTTCATCTCTTTCTTTCACCCATTCTTTCTTTTTTTCCTTTCTTCATCTCTTTTTCTTTTCACTCCATTCTTTCTTTCTTCCTTTCTTCATCTCTTTCTTTCACCCATTCTTTCTTTCTTCCTTTCTTCATCTCTTTCTTTTCACCCATTCTTTCTTTCTTCCTTTCATCATCTCTTTCTTTCACCCATTCTTTCTTTTTCCTTTCTTCCTCTCTTTCTTTTCCCCATTCTTTCTTTCTTCCTTTCTTCATCTCTTTCTTTCACCATTCTTTCTTTTTTCCTTTCTTCCTCTCTTCTTTCTTTCCCATTCTTTCTTTCTTCCTTTCTTCATCTCTTTCTTTCACCCATTCTTTCTTTCTTCCTTTCTTCATCTCTTCTTTTTCACCCATTCTTTCTTTTTTCTTTCTTCATCTCTTTCTTTCACCCATTCTTTTCTTTTTTTCCTTTCTTCCTCTCTTTCTTTCACCCATTCTTTCTTTCCTTTCTTCCTCTCTTTTTCTTTTTCCCATTCTTTCTTTTTTCCTTTCTTCCTCTTTTATTTCACCCATTCTTTCTTTTTTTCCTTTCTTCCTCTCTTTCTTTCACCCATTCTTTTTTTTCCTTTCTTCCTCTCTTTCTTTCACCCATTCTTTCTTTCTTCCTTTCTTCATCTCTTTCTTTCACCCATTCTTTCTTTTTCCTTTCTTTCATCTCTTTTTCACCCATTCTTTCTTTTTTCCTTTCTTCATCTCTTTCTTTCACCCATTCTTTTCTTTCTTCCTTTCTTCATCTCTTTCTTTCACCCATTCTTTTTCTTCCTTTCTTCATCTCTTTTCTTTCACCCATTCTTTTCTTTTTTTTTTCTTCCTCTTTCTTTCTTTCACCCCATTCTTTCTTTTTCCTTTCTTCCTTTCTTTCTTTTCACCCATTCTTTCTTTCTTCCTTTCTTCATCTCTTTCTTTCTCCCCCATTCTTTCTTTTTTCCTTTTCTTCATCTCTTTTCTTCACCCATTCTTTTTTTTCCTTTCTTCCTCTCTTTCTTTCACCCATTCTTTCTTTCTTCCTTTCTTCATCTCTTTCTTTCACCCATTCTTTCTTTCTTCCTTTCTTCATCTCTTTCTTTCACCCATTCTTTCTTTTTTCCTTTCTTCATCTCTTTCTTTCACCCATTCTTTCTTTCTTCCTTTCTTCATCTCTTTTTCTTTCACCATTCTTTCTTTTTTTCCTTTCTTCCTCTCTTTCTTTCACCCATTCTTTCTTTCTTCCTTTCTTCATCTCTTTCTTTCACCCATTCTTTTCTTTCTTCCCTTTCTTTCATCTCTTTCTTTCACCCATTCTTTCTTTTTTCCTTTCTTCATCTCTTTCTTTCACCCATTCTTTCTTTCTTCCTTTCTTCATCTCTTTCTTTCACCCATTCTTTCTTTCTTCCTTTCTTCATCTCTTTCTTTCACCCATTCTTTCTTTCTTCCTTTCTTCATCTCTTTCTTTCACCCATTCTTTCTTTTTTCCTTTCTTCCTCTCTTTCTTTCACCCATTCTTTCTTTTTTCCTTTCTTCCTCTCTTTCTTTCACCCATTCTTTCTTTCTTCCTTTCTTCATCTCTTTCTTTCACCCATTCTTTTCTTTTTTTCCTTTCTTCATCTCTTTCTTTCAATTCATTCTTTCTTTTTTTCCTTTCTTCATCTCTTTCTTTCACCCATTCTTTCTTTCTTCCTTTCTTCATCTCTTTCTTTCACCCATTCTTTCTTTCTTCCTTTCTTCATCTCTTTCTTTCACCCATTCTTTCTTTTTTCCTTTCTTCCTCTCTTTCTTTCACCCATTCTTTCTTTTTTCCTTTCTTCCTCTCTTTCTTTCACCCATTCTTTCTTTCTTCCTTTCTTCATCTCTTTCTTTCACCCATTCTTTCTTTTTTCCTTTCTTCATCTCTTTCTTTCACCCATTCTTTCTTTTTTCCTTTCTTCCTCTTTTCTTTCACCCATTCTTTCTTTCTTCCTTTCTTCATCTCTTTTCTTTCACCCATTCTTTCTTTTCTTCCTTCTTCATCTCTTTCTTTCACCCATTCTTTCTTTTTTCCTTTTCTTCATCTCTTTCTTTTTCACCCATTCTTTCTTTTCTTCCTTTCTTCATCTCTTTCTTTCACCCATTCTTTCTTTTTTCCTTTCTTCATCTCTTTCTTTCACCCATTCTTTCTTTCTTCCTTTCTTCATCTCTTTCTTTCACCCATTCTTTCTTTCTTCCTTTCTTCATCTCTTTCTTTCACCCATTCTTTCTTTCTTCCTTTCTTCATCTCTTTCTTTCACCCATTCTTTCTTTCTTCCTTTCTTCATCTCTTTCTTTCACCCATTCTTTCTTTTTTCCTTTCTTCATCTCTTTCTTTCACCCATTCTTTCTTTCTTCCTTTCTTCATCTCTTTCTTTCACCCATTCTTTCTTTCTTCCTTTCTTCATCTCTTTCTTTCACCCATTCTTTCTTTGTTCCTTTCTTCATCTCTTTCTTTCACCCATTCTTTCTTTCTTCCTTTCTTCATCTCTTTCTTTCACCCATTCTTTCTTTCTTCCTTTCTTCCGTTCTTTCTTTCATCCAGTCTTTCTTTTTTCCTTTCTTCCACTCTTTCTTTCATCCATTCTTTCTTTTTTTCCTTTTTTCCGTTCTTTCTTCCTCTCTTTCTCTCACGCATTCTTTCTTTCTTCCTTCCTTCCGTTATTTCTTTCTTACTTTCTTCCTTTCTTTCTTTCATCTTGTCTTTCTTTTTTCCTTTCTTACGTTCTTTCTTTCTCCGTTCTTTCTTTTTTTCTTCCGTTATTCCTTTCTTTTTTTCTTTCGTTCTTTTTTTCATTCATTTTTTTCTTCCTTTCTTCCGTCCTTCTTTCTTCCTTTCTTCTCTTCTTTCTTTCTTCCTTTTTTTTCTTTCATCCATTCTTTCCTTCTTCCTTTCTTCTGTTTTTCTTCCTTTCTTTATTTTAAATTAGGGATATTCAAATACATAGACTGTTAATAAAGCGAGAAGAATGTGTTACGGCAATCTCCCGATTTCAGAGAACCATGAAAGTCAGCATTCAGGACTATGCCTTTTATCTGGGCTCGAAATACCTCTGCAGGCAATAGCAGAGTGGACCAAGTTCTCAGTTTCATCGTTACCGACAAGTAAATAGTAAAATGAAATAAAAATGAACTAAAGAAAGAATCTCAAAAGGTAAACTGGAGGACACAGAGAAAAGATGACATAAAAGTCAGATACACACATATGTATGTCTTCACCGAGAGGAGGGGACGTAGAAACACCTGAGTTGACGTCCAGGTGCACAGTTAACCCTCTGGGGATAATGGAACACAAGCCTTTGATAAGCTATCCGTCTATGAAAAGGAAAACTGATTAGACTCCCGCCTTAGTGCTAATCCGGCTATATCGTATTTGCTTGTCTTTAGGATTCACTTAGCATTGTTGGTGTGAATCGTTGCAGTGTTGTGCAAGCTGTACATGTCTTTAATCTCAACACGGGTATTGATGACATCTTAACATCTATATTTACTCTGGTTTCTGAAGTCCAGTAACGTTGACTAAGTCATGATGCGTTCAGGTCTGAAAGGAAGGGAATACGTAGACGCTGACCTAAACACTAGCGGTCTTTGGTATATATAGTAGTTGTTTGCTTGCTTATGAAGGCAAAGGTAGGACTCAAAAGGTACTTGTGCACCCTGTTTAAAGGATATTACTGTTGACCAGAGGCCTGGATGGTTTCTAGAAAACCTGACCTAATCATTGCCTTTCTCACTGATTTTTATTGCTATAGATATTTTGCATCGTTATTAGTTGCTTATTTATTACCCCTATCAAAAATAAAATAAAACTTCATAATCGTCTTAATCCAGATATCTCAAATATGTTTGTCAGTGGAATTCGTAGCATTGTTGGCATGAGAAGTTACGGTATTATGAAAGCTATACAAGACTTTAATCTCAACACGGGTAATTCTGATATTTTAACATCTATTGTTGAAAAAATTTGAATTAAAAATTTCATTCGTAGATTTAACTTGTCAGTAATGGTCATACTCGTCTAACAACTCCATAGACATCAACTATATATATATATATATATATATATGTGTGTGTGTGCACGCACACAATCGCATCCTGTCTGATACTAAGTAGTGAACAACAACAATGACAACATCAATAATAATTACAGAGGGTAAGCATGACAGAGGAGAAACGGCCATATATTGGGGACTGTGCAAACGATTCTGTTTCGATCATGTAGACAAATGGTATCGGTACAAACCAGAGACTGGTAAAAGAATAAGTGTTGTAACTGAGTTATCAAAACAACAGTAGAAAACCGAAATCGGTTTTACAAATTTATTACCTTTTGGTACAGGGAAACATGATATAGAATAGAAACTAGAGAAGATATTTTAGTCGTGAATGACTAATTGTTTTCAACAAGAGCTACTGGTCCTCCTGCTACTCCTCTTGATGTAGGCGTATTTTTCTGTCTTTCGTCCAACGGCCGAGTCCAAACTTGTAGGGAAATATTCTTCCTCACAATTTTGAAATCCCAGACAACCACTCAATTTAGAAGAGACGCTTACAACTGAAATCCCAGGATCTCACCTGGGATAGACGAAAAATGTGAAATGTAAAGTGTGGTCGTGTTTATTATAGTTGGCACTCTTGGAAAACTTCTGGCGTCTCCAAGTTTACTGAAACAGGTGCGAGAGAATATAAAAAAGTTCTTCAGTGATAATTATTAAGACATCTGGTGTAAACACGAAATATAAACTCCCATTTGATAATATAAAACATAATGTTACTTTACATATTTATCGGTCATGCAACATGATTTACCTTCCTTAGTAATGGGATATTCCATTTTAAATGATTACAGGAAGACTTCTTGTTACTATAACAACGGAATATATCATTAGTAATTAATGCGATTACTTAATAGATTTCTATTTATTTAATATTCCTTGAATGTTTTTACTTTTTAAGATTTAAAAATAGAGGCATTTCTTGCATGAGAAATAAAAAATTTTGATTACTCATGCAATATAAACAATGGTATTGTGAAATTATTTAAATATTTCTGTCTTTTGAAGGTATGAGTAAATTTATCCTCCTCTTCAAAAGAACTTTATTTTGAATCGTTTATTCCATAATCACAATGCATTTCAGTTACTTTCTAAATTTACTTGATACAATCAGCAGTCGTAACTCCTTCTAAAAGTTGTAGTGTCTCATTTTTAGAGAGGCTTACTCTTTGCCTTTGACAATGATGTCCCCCCAGCATAAGATGTGAGCCGAAACAACTTAGCACCTTTTACAGCACCCGCACATTCTAAAGGAGGGTTTTTTTGCCCGCGGTTTACTCGTCTAATCCCCACTGTACACGGATGTTCTCAAGCGGATCCTATTTGTGAGTACTGATCAGGATCGACGTTGCTTAACTCCGAGAACAGCTGAAGAAGAAGAAGAAGAAGAAGAAGAAGAAGAAGAAGAAGATACTATGAAACTTTAAAATTCAAACTGCATTCAAAATCTAAGAGTGATCCCCATAATAATTTGAACACTGGGAACTGTCAGAAGTGACCAAAAAGTGAATAAAGAGTTGAGGAAAGGTTAATTCTACCGAGACACACAACAGTGCCGGAACTGGCAACGGCGTTGAAGGGAGAGTGTGTCTTATGTTTCAGGGGAATCTCTTTAGATTTAATGTATGTATGTATGTATGTATATATGTATATATTCGACTAAGAAACCCTTCATATCTATCTATCTATGTATCTATATATCGATATATATATATATATATATATCTCTCTCTCTCTCTCTCTATATATATATATATATATATATATATATATATATATTCTCGACCAAGAAAGCTTTCACAAAATTTGGTCAATTTTTTTTAAATGGCTCAGTCTTCAAACTTTTCAACATACCCTCGAACGCACACACACGGGTGAGCGCACACATACACTCACACACACCTTAAATGTTTGACTGATATACAGATGATTGAATGAATGAAAAATATTGATTGATTGAGTGAATTAAAAAGTAGATACGTTAGAAGAAAAATGACGAGAAGAAAGAATAACATAGAGTCAATTTTGGATACAACATGGAGATTAGTAAATATCAATCTGCCGGAAGAGATAGATAGATAGATAGATAGATAGATAGATAGATAGAAAGAAAGAAAGAAAGAAAGAAAGAAAGAAAGAAAGAAAGAAAGAAAACGGTGTTTGGTAGTGAGGTAACGTAAAAAAGAAAGAAATTAGCTCGAAATTGAGAAAAACAAATAAGTGAGATGGAAATGAATAAACAGGAAAGAAATGAAAAAGAAAATGAGAAAGAAAGAAAATGAGAAAGAACGTGAAGAAGAATGAAAGAGTTGAAACGTGAGAAAAAGAATGGAGTGACATGAATGTGAGCAATCAAGTAAAAAGTGAGAGAAAAATTAAGAAAAAGAAAGAAAGAAAGAAAGAAAGAAAGAACAAAAAGTTGAAACGTGAAAAAAATAATGAACTCAGATGAAAACAAGAAATAGGAGGAGAAGTCGTGTGAAAGAAAGAAATACATAAATAAGAAAGAAAGAAATAAAGAAAGAAAGAAAGAAAGAAAGAAAAGATAGAACATAAAAAGAAAGAAAGAAAGAAAGAAAGAAAGAAATAAGTAAGATAGGCTATAAAAGAAAGAAGGAAATAAAACAATGAACGCGAACAAAAGAAACAAACAAACGTAAATACGCTTAAAGAAAGTAGCCCAAACGTTTCGTACGCACTCCCTCAACGGGCACCTTATATTTAAATCCCGTTTTCCCGCCTCCATTTCTCTACCTGCCTCTTTCTTGACTGAGCTGCCGTTCAAGTTGGGGTCCCGTACAAATATCTGTGGTCGGCGCATTTCGGGAGAAATAGTTTTAATGATTTATTCAGAATTATGCGTGGAAAAAATGGTTGGCCAATATAAATCGATTCGAAAGCCCTTACCCAAGTCTATCGCAGCCCCCTTCCTCCCTCCCTCCCTCATCTTGCCGGTCCCCTTCGACGAGCACTTCTTCAACCTACTTCTTGTCTTCCATTCACTGCTTGACTACACGGTATCTCTATCTCTTTCCCTCTCTCAATTTCCCACTTTCATTCTCTTTTCTCCCCAACCCCTTATTATAAGCTAACCAATTTATATGAAAAAAAAGAGGGGCAAGTTAGGTTTGGGGTATAGCATTCCGAAGCCAAAATGCCTAGACCCCCCCCCACCATTCCTGGTTGGGTTTGTTGGAATGGGGCACTGTTAATAAATCTTGCCTATCTTCGGATACATCTATAACTTTAGAACTCTGGTTTCTCTGGGAGTTTTTTCTTCCACTTCTTTTCTTTTTGTTTTTCTTTCTTGATAATCAAACTGCAAGGAATTCTAGGGCAAACCTGCATGTAAGTTGTGTTTCGGACGGATGGGATTTGGGGGGGTGGTGGATAGGGGGAGCAACAGAAAAGGTTTTTGGCAAATGTAGAGTTTTGATAGGTGAATACACGGTGGCGATGATGGGGTAGAAAAGCGAGGGGTGGAGGAGACGTTATCGGAGTTGAAAGTGGGGGGGGGCAGTAGATCCGTTGTGAAATGATTATTGCTGAATAATAAAAATTGAACAAGTAGCTGAAATGGTGAAAGAAGAAGAAGACGAAAAAGAAGAAGAAGATGAAAAAGAAGAAGAAGATGAAGAGGATAAACCGTGCGTAAATTTAAAACGGACACGATAAAAATGAAAAATGAAACATTTTCGAAAAAAAACATTTCCCAAAATGCAAATCCTCAGCTAAAAACGATGATAGTTTATATATATATATATATATATATATATATATATATATATATATTTGGGAATTGCTGGTCTGAATAAAAGGGATTTAAAACATTTGATGTTCGTAGCCGGATCCCTCATATATATGCATAAA